CAACCCTACGCAGCGGCTACATCTTCTTCGACTGCGTGCAGTACGCCACGGAGGGCTCCAATGTGGAGATCTGCCCCATCGCCAACTCCAGCTGGGCCACCTGCGATCCGCTGTCCCGTGCCGCGCCCACCGTCTTCGACGCCTCTGTGACCCTGGCGCGCACGGCGAGAGGCAGGGTGAACCAGCTGTGCCACGTGGACCCCGCCGACAACGCCAATGAGAATCAGGGCTGCCTGGAGGACCTGGTGTGCGTGCCTCTGCCCCAGCTGGTGAGGCTTGAATGGGCCGGGGCGCAGGGGATTGGGGCCCCTGTGCTGCCCTGGGAGGGTTTGAGTCTTGTGGAGCCCGGGAGAGGTCTTGCCCGGTGCTGGCAGGCCCAGCCAGGCGTTGGCCCCGGCACTCCTCGGCGCCATTGCCTGCTCTTCTTGTTGCAGCTTCGTTCCCCCGCCCTGCACGTCCACGTCGGCACTGTTGTCTTGTCCCAACCAGTCTCCCCACGACTCTCCCCATCCTCCAAAGGAAATCCCCTCTTTCGCACCACAGAACACGACGGCGCTGGACGGCCTGGGCTACTGCCACGACTCGCCGCAGGGGGGCACCTTCGACCTGCCTGCCATCCTGCGGGGGGAAGACATGGCGCCCCTCGCTTTCTACCCGCTCACCGGCGGCGGCCTGGAGACGCTGACCCTGCCGCTGTACAACGGCAGCAGCGCCGGGCCGGTGCAGCTGCGCTGGGCCAACGACACCAATTTTGGGTCTGTCCCAGACTGCATGAGGGTGAGCTCTACTCTTGTTTGTGCGCTTGTGCCTGAGGGGTTTGGTGGGATGGGGAAGGGGGGAAAGCTGGATCTTCCACTCCACGCTGCCATGTGCTTTGGCCGGCACGACCCCGCCTGCTGTGATGGCGCCCCCGTTCTTGCCGGTGAGCACGCTTATGAGCCTGACCCCTCCATGCACGCACACACAGGCCGACTCGGACTCCATCACCCTGTCCAATGTGCCCTTTGCTGCCACCAACGGTTCCTTCACCATCAACCTGTGGATGCGCCGGCCCGGCAACGCCAACCTCACGGGCACTCAGTACCAGTACCTCTTCTCCCAGGCTTCCACCCCCTCCTCCCTGGTGGCCCAGCCCAACTCGGTGAGCAGTCGGCGGGCTGGACTGGCAGGGCTGGTGTTCCTTGGAGTGATACTGCTTTCCATCGAACATCTTTACTCCCGCCTTCAAACCCACGCCCTTGCCACCCCTGAACCCCTGCCCATACTTCCAAATCCCCAACCCCCTCCCCCTCAGATCGGCATCTACCTGCCTGATTCGGAGCATCCCGCCTCGGGATTGGTGCGGGTGATGGTGGTGGATGGCACCGGCGACCCCACCGGCAACTCCGCCAACTACCTGGATTCGGACGGGCACGTCAATGACAATGAGGCGCGCAACACCTCCAGTCCAGCCCAGAGTGCGTCGTGGGGGCCGGGGTTGGGGGGTAAATATCTCGGGTCAGGACCTTGTCCTGGCAGGTGCAAGGGCGTGTAGATTGGATCCAGGGCTGCAGGAGCCGTGCCACTCTTCTTATGCAGCCCTCTCCCTCCAATTCCTCCATTTCCCTTGTAGACGTTAACGACGGCAACTGGCACATGATCACGGTTTCCACCCACCCCAACAACTCCCTGGGGTACAGTCTGTACCTGGACGGCAGGTAGGTGGTGGGCTGTGGAGGGGTGGAATGCTTTCACTTTCAGCCCTGCCTGTCTGTGAGGGCGGCATGAATGAATGGTGCACAGCTTGGCCACACACGGGCACCCACCCCAATACGACCCCGGTTCCCTCACCATTCAGGCTTGCGGCCAGCATGTACGACCTGATGCTGGACTCCAAGGGTCTGAGGATCCGGGCCTCGGGCGGGCATCCCATCACCTCCTCGGACAACATCCACCTCTGTGCCCGCTTTGATGAGGCAGACGACAGGTGTGGGTGGGTTCAAGGGGGGTGGGGACTGACGGTGTTTCTTGGGAGAGTCTTAGAGGTATACTGGTCCGCCCCCCCTGGTGTGCTAACAGAGCTCAAGGCTCGCCTGCCCTCGCACGATGAAAGGGTGCTCCCCCAACTCATTTCACCATGTCCTCCCAGCACAAATGGTACCGCCCCACCCGCTCGCAGGTACTACGACGGCTACTTGGCCCACCTCATGCTCTTCGACCATGCGGTGCGAGAGGAGCAGGTGGCGCAGCTGTACAACGCCTACGCCATGTCCGCCCCGCCTGGCGCCTCGCCTGGCAGCAGCGTGGTGACCACGGCTGGCGAGCCGTCCCTGTTCCCGCCGCCCGCGCCGCCGGTGCAGGACACGTCGAGCGGCGGCCTGTCCGCGGGCGAGATCGCCGGCATCGTCATCGGCTCGCTTGCGGGGGCCGCCCTGCTGGCGGGGGCCGTCGCCTTTGCGCTCAAGTCGCGGAAGCGGCGGGCCGACAAGTTCGAGCGGTATGCGGAGGACCCCGCTGGACTGCCGCCCCCGGGCCTGCCGCCCTCCCTCATGCCAGCGGTGCTCCCCGGGGCGTATGCTGCGGGGACAGGGGGCAGGCACATGGAGGCGGAGATGTCCAGCTCGGCCTCCTCCATGAAATACGACAAGGAGGGCGAGGGTGAGAGGGAGGTTTGGCTTTTTGGGTGGAAGGAGGGAGGGGGGTCCTGGGTTTTGAGGGGGGGGAGTGGGGACATTGGTGTACTTTGTTTTCCCGGGAAGCCCCTGCGGTGAAGAGATCGAGCTGCCGATCCTGCTAACCGATCCACCTTTAATTCTGCAGGTGGAACACCTGACAGCCAGAACGGGGGCACAAAGGTGAGCCTGCTGCTGGGGGGTGTATATCCTCCTTGCTTTGAATACAAGGCCAACCTTGATGCATGCAGCAGACTGATACATGTGTGCAGGCATGTTCGTGCCCCAACCATGCATGGGCCTTGCGAGAATCACCCTCACACCCTCATGAACCCATTCCCCATTGGCTCTGTTCCCACAGGCTGGACCCACGAGCTGGATGACCAACCCATTCTCGAAGGAACCAGATGCGAGGGCCCCCTCGATGACCACCTCTGCCTCTGGCAGATCCGAGGTGGACATCCAAGCAGGTAACGGGGATGGAGGGTGGATCCAGGAGGGCAGGCTGTTGTGGCTGAGAGGCCCTGCTGCTCGGCAGGTGGAGGGTCGGAGCTGGCTTAGCAAGAGTAGCACATCACAGTCAATCTCCTGCCACACATCGTCACCCCCCACACACTCATCCGACAAATTCCACCGTGCAGGCAAGCGCTCCTTTGGCAGCTTCAGGAAAGGGCCTGCCACGGTGATCGTTCCCCCAGAGGGAGCCCACATCTGATGGGAGGCGCTGTGAGACCACGGATCGCCCTACTCAAGCATCCCTGGCTTCCTGCATGAGTTTCTCTGCACCAGGAACTGTCGATTGTGCACACGCCCGCTGAAACCCTGAGCGGCCCCGACCTAAGAAATGGTGGGCAAATGATTGCAACGTTGTAGGCAGGCTTCTTTGTAAGCACCACGGCATTTCGACATTGAAAACTGGTGAGGGCTGTTCCCCATGGCAAGACGCGCAGAACCACACACAGTCATGCATGCGTAGGGGAGGGGCCGCAACGGCATCAGCCCCCTCTCGCGAGGGGCTGACTCCAGGACTCGGCTCCCAAACAGGGCAGTCCCCTACTGCCCCAGCTGCATGCGTTCCACCTTTCCTCGGCAATACTGCGCGCGCCCCTGGGCCACGCTGTTCCCTGGCTCGGCCACCAAGGCCTGGTTGTAGGCGTCCAATGCCTGCCGCCACTCCTTGGCCTTCTCATAGGCGTCCCCCAGGTTGTTCCACGCCGTAACATACTGAGGCTGCACAGATTTGGAGGGAAGAGGGATTCTTCTCAGTGAGAATGTGACGACGCTGAATATTCCAGTTGCGCGTTCTCCCGTCATCTGGAGGGCACCCTGAGGGATCTCAAAGCACCTGGAGCTCAACGGCTTGCTTGTAGGCAGCTGCAGCCTTGCTCCACTGCTCCAGGTTGAAGTGGGCGAAGCCCTGGGCATTGTACACCTGTTCAATGTGTTTGGGGTTGGGCCCAGGACAATCTATGCCAAGAATCGGGGAGGTGGGAATACGAACCGCAGCGCAGCATCACGATGTGCACAGTGCTCGCCGTTACACGGTAGCCCCCTACATGTCTGCACCTTTGCCAACTCTTCTTGGGGCCCCTTCCACGCTTTCTTGGCCTTCTCCAGGTTCTTGATCGACTGCGTGTACAGCTTTTTCCGCAGCAGAATGACGCCCAGCTCCAAGTAATCCTGCATGGAGGCACACCATGACACAACAGGGGTGGACAGCTCTTCAGCGTGAGGGCCATGCTGCAACCTTCAGGTGTGTCACGGCAACTGCATTCTGTCCCGCCCATTGCTTGCCCCACATTCAGTAACACACACACATATACACACGCGCAAGGGGTCATCTCACCTCGCCACTGCCTTCACCGGATCGCACGCGATCTCCAAACACCTTGGCAGCCTCTTCCAACTCCCTGCGTGCCAGCACCTGCCGCACTACCAGGTAGGCTCCCACCACGAGGAAGGAAAGGAGGATGGAGAGGTACACCACCTGGATGGGGCCCTCGATTCCTTCCCCCACAGACCCCAGGACTGGGCTGGGGTGCGCTCTGGGAGTCAAGCGAAAAGCATGACCTCCTCTTGCACTGGGAAGGCACAGTTTGTCATCTGCGCATCGGAGGTGGGAGGCTCGTGGGACCCTCCATTTCGCTGGGTACCAATGGGGCAAAATGGCGGAGATATCCGTCTGGGACCTCGTGGTCATCTCAGGCGAGCTCACTTGAGTGCATTGGGGCGATGATCTGGCATTTTGCTCCTTGGATTGCAGAACTGTGCACTTGCATGCATGCTGGGCCGATGGGTCGGATGGACGTCCTGCAGAGTGATGCATGCTGACCGGGCAGGGCCGCACCCCGTCCCGAGATGGAGGAGAGTCGATCGATCATCAGAGCTGTGAATCCGCCATGCCCTGCTTCTGTGTGTATATGCGAAAGCCCTGGGTCTGTCGCATTGCCGACACAGACCAAGGAGACTGGTCCATCATCTGCAGCAGGGATTCAGATCCCGGGTCGATCGTGGCTTCCACGCTCACTCTATCATGTCCCCGGACTCGTCATTACTCGGCCTGACGCCACCGAGTTCTCTCCATTCCCCTCCTTGGCGCTCATCTGTCTGCATATCCACAGCATGTCTGCCGTGTCCTTCACCTCCGTGCGCCCCAGCCTGGCTGCCCGGGTGCCAGTCTCGCCCCTGGGCCTGTCTCGCGCCTGTGCCCGTCCCAGGCCCATGCAGCGCATGGTCCCCCGTGCCACGCCGGACACACAGAAGGGGCCCATCGAGGGAGCCATCACCGAGGCTCAGGATGCCTGCGCCACGGGGAGCACCGACGAATGGTGAGTAGGGTCCCGGACGGTTCCAGAGGATTCTTGCGGGCTTCGTGCGGGCCATGGGCACCACCGTCGGACTGTTATCTACTTCTGACGACGCTATACACGCCATGACCGCGCAGTGCTGCGGCCTGGGACACGGTCGAGGAACTGAGCGCGGCTGCAGCCCACAAGCGGGACAACGCCAAGACCGCCCAGCAGTCCGACCCCTTGGAGCAGTACTGCGAGGGCGCACCGGATGCCGACGAGTGCCGCGTCTACGGTGAGTTGGGGTGCCTTGTCTATACCCTCCTTGGATGTAGAGGGGTCTGTCTGTGCCTTCATGATGATCAGGCGGGAGTCTTGCGCCAGAATGCCGACGGCACTCCACCACCCGCACACCCCTGCAGAGGATTGATGCGTCCCCTCAAGATGCCTGTTCCAAGGATAGGCGGCCTTCTCTGCGGCCCGCTCGCCGTGAGCGGCTGCTGTCCCTGATGTGGAGTCTGGCGCGCTTGCAACGACACACACCACCCTGTACGATTCGCCCGCTGATCTGTTTTGCTCATTGATGTTACCGATGCCGATCCTCCGAGGCCATTGCAGCAGAGGCAGGGGAAGCGACGCTGACCCTACAGGCTGAAACAGGACAGGGTGTACATCAGGTGGAGGCAAGGGGCAGTGGCAGTGCATGGAAGCTCATTTCTCAGAGTGTTCTAATACGAAGGGAGCTTGACGGCAGTATTGGGGCGGTGGGGGACAGTGTGCGGGGAGGTGGGCCAGATGGCGCATCGAGCGTTACCGGCCTCTCCCTTGCACATCCCTCTCCACCCCAAGGGGATCAACGGAAGCGCTTGCTGCCCTTCCAAAGAGCAATCAGGTCCTTGCAGGTACAGGCTCGTGCAAAACTTTATGGCAGTAGAAGAACAGTGAGGGGCCTGCCCGCAGCAGGCGCCCATGCCCCCGACCCAGACCCTGATGTACAGGGTCTGGGTGCGGGGTGACGCGCTTGGCGAGAGTGAGGAGGGGGTGATGTTGTGAGGATGGGTTGATGCGCCGGCGGGTGAGCCGGTGCAGGGTTGAAGGGCGTCGTTGTAGATTGGGGCGGCAAGCCTCGCAGTGCTCATCAGTCGTTCCAGCTGCTGCTGGTCTTCACGAGTTCCGGCTGGACGTCGCCGCCTGTTATTGGTGAAGGTCGAAGGGATTCATTGAGCAGGGGAAAAGGCGTCGATGTTAGGGCAGGAGGCATGCGCGGCAGCAGGGACTGCGGGTCGAACCGGTCGGGGCTGGATGCGGTGCAGAGTCACCCACCAGGCATGCGCCCAACAGCTGTCGCGCGCGGGACTGCCCGTCCTGCCCAGCTAGCCATGCAACAGAAACACCACCCACCATGCAACAGAAACACCACCCACGCACGCACCGAGGTGGAGCCCGACGCCCCGCCCCGCGTCACGTCGCCCAGGGGGGAGGGGGCCACCGGCGCCTGGTCCTCCCCGCCGCCGTGCGTCGCGGTGAAGGAGCGCCCGCGGGCGCGCGCCAGCGACGCCTCGGTGGGGGATGCGCGCCCTGACCCTGGGGGAGGGGTCCCGGTCAGCAAACGACGGGCCCAGCCCTCACAGGCATGCAGGCGGGCGGGCGGGCGACGGGGTGGCACCCCAGCGCAGGCTCGACTCAGCCTCCTCGACACCCCCGGCCCCCATGGGCCAGCGCCCTCCACCCTCCGCCCCGCCTCCGAACCCTGGCTCACCCGTGAGCGGCGAGGAGGACGCGGGGGACCCCGTCCCAGGCCCCGGCGCGGCCTGCGCGGGACCGAGGCCGTGGCCCAGCCCCGCCAGCAGGGCCGACAGCCCGCCCGCCGACCCGTCGCGGCTGGATCGCACGGACCCGGCGCCGCCGTCGCCCGAGCCGCCGCCTGCGGCTCCTGGGCCGCCGCCCGCACCCAGGCCCCCCGCGCCGGCCCTAGCCAGCTGCGCCGCGGGCGCCTCGGCGGGCAACTCAAGCGGTCCGGCGTACCCCGGCCCGCCCCCGCCTGCCATGTTGGTGCGCCCCAGCAGTGCCGCCTGCGCCAGCAGCGTCTGCAGGCCGGCGGCGTCCAGCACGCCGCCGCCACCGCCGCTGCCGGGCGTGCCGGGGGGCGTGCCGTGCTGGGACAGGTATGCGTGCGGCGAGTGCTGCTGCATGCTGGCCGCCGCCTCCGCCGCCTGCTGGTTGAAGCTGAGCTGCGTCAGCAGCTGGGACAGCATCGCATCCGTGCTGGCTGCGGGGGGGGGGGGGGGGGGGGGAAAGGGGGGGGGGGGGGGGATGGGGGGTTGATTATGTTTGTGAACGAAGTGTGAGCGCAGCCGGGAACGCAAGGGAGAGCGTGGCTTGGCCCGCTGGCTTGTTTGGTGGATGAGATGACATCTCAGGGGTAGTGCTTGAAGGGTGGCTAAATCAAGGCTGTGTTTCAAACCGATTCGCAAGACAGCCTGCATCCCCCATCCGAACCAACCTGTCCAACCTCTCCTCCCAACCTGCCAGCCGAGTACCTGGCTTACGATGTGGGCATGCACGTGCTGGTCATCCTCACTGACATGGCCTCCTATGCGGATGCCCTGCGCGAGGTCAGCGCTGCCCGCGAGGAGGTGCCCGGCCGCCGCGGCTACCCAGGTGTGTGTGTGTTTGGGGAGGGGGTGCATCTGGTTGCTCATGCTTGGTGGGTTGGCAACTCCGCGGGCTAGGGATGTGGGTTCCTCTGAAAGCATGGCCGAGCTGGGGAGGGTGCCGATCTGGCTGCACAAAGGAGTCGGCCCTCTCATCCTCGAAGCTCCAG